GCTGCATGGGGAAGCAGGCAGGACCCCCTGGGGGCGGCATGCAGTATTACCTAAACTGGGAACGTGAACACAGAGAGAAATTCAGGTTGGCAATGTTTATTATCTTGTGTGCAATGGCAAGTTAGGAAAACAAATGAGGAGACAAATAGAAATATAAAGGTTTATTAGATTAAAACTTGGGGGCTATACTTACACCTTGGTTGGAAACAAACCTCAGGTTTGACAGTACTGCCAGTGTTCCCACACACACACTCCAAGAATCTGAAAGAACAGTCACTGCAAAGGAAGAGTCAGTGTCCACTTACCTTGTTTCTGAGGCTGACATCAGCATTTCTTTTTAGAAGATAGCTAACTATCCTGTTGTTTCCCTGTTTGCATGCACAAATTAAGGGGGTGTCTCCACCGAAGCTGTCCTGGATGTTCAGATAGTTGCTGTTGCGCTCCAAAAGGAGCTGAACTTCATTGAAATCGTTATTATAAGCTGCCTGACAAATGGGCTGAAGAGAGAAGATAATATTCATCAGCACACGTTTCACTAAGACATCCATTCTGCCCATTCTGACTTGCTACTTGCACATCCTAAGACACTGCCAAGCACTCCTGACAGAGGTTGTAGTTCTAGGTGACTTCCAGAAGATGGTGGTAAGAGATACTCCTGCAGCTGCCACACAGCAGCTCTCAGCCCTCAGCCTGAGAAGTCACAGCCCTTGCACAGTGGAATGGACTTTCTGTTCCATTTGGACGACGTGTCTATAATCCAAGAAATAAATCCGGTTCATTTGCAGCCATTAAAAAAACGGCTTCTGATCTCATAGGAGTTGGTCACTGTATTAAGCAGCAAGCGCTGACAAGCCCACACCTCTCTAAGTTTACAGCAGGCTTTCCCTTTGGATGAGCACTGCTGAACAAGAGGTACCACTTCTGACTCATCAATTCCTAGAACAGAACCACACTTCAGGTGAAAACTGAGCTAGAAATGTAAAAAAAAATCCACACAAAAAAACCCAAACACCAAAAAACCCACCAAAACCCCACTAAAACCTAAAATCTCCACAATGTTTCTTTTCTAGGGCTTCAAGTTAAACTTCATACCTAAAAAACACATGCATGTATGCCCACAGCTCAGGTCCTGCTTGGCTTTTGAGAACTGCTTGCTATTCAAGTCTTCACTCAGTATTTCTACTCACCCTTGACCTGACCTGCAATTCCTTCCCTCTCCAGCAGCAAGAACTCAGACTAAGGAGAGGCTGAGAATGACAGAAGTACTACAAGTTTCTAATGGCCTAATACAGGCAGAAAATAAAAGTGGGAAGTCTGGCAGGCTGGTAGCATTTGAAGTTCTCCAGTCGAAAAGAGAATAAGTTTCTTTCTTTTCTTCTGTCTTCGATGCTGAGGTTTTTATTCACCATTTTCCAAAATAGGCATTTTCTTTAAATATTATCTGCAGTTTTTCCTTCCCGTCCTCCTTTTATTACATCCTAAGTACACTACCCGAACAAGATCTAGCCCTGAACCTCTGAGCCCTTTCCTCACCCCCCCTGCAATTATCTTTTTCTTTTTTTTCACATTAAAAAGATTAATCTTATATGCACTTTCATTTCAGACAAACTTTGATCTACAACACAAGTTTACCACCAGCATCATTGCTGCTTAGTCTTCTTGACACCTGCATAAGAGAAGTGATTTTCCTTTCTAGAGAAAGTATTTACATGCTTACCAGACCTTGCACCACTTCTTGTTTTGTTTTCATTATATTAGACAAAAATCTACAAAGAATACATGCAACATTGTAAATTTGCATCATCTGTCTATATTCTTTTAGAAGCCTACATGTGTCATTTGCTATTATACACTCCTCCAGAACAAGAACTGTTTTAATGATTTTGAGGAGAAATCCCTCTTTTAAATCCCTCTTGGTGTAAGTGACCTGCACACCGGTGCCATCTAAATGACCAGTTTGCTCTAGAACCTCGCTCTCTGTCATGTCGGTGTCTAGTACTGTATCTTCATGTCCAGGAAAGAGAAGATCAGATGGAGTCTGTCTGTACCTCTGATTTCCCTACTATTCTTGCTTTTAAGTATTGCTTTTCTTATTTAAAGATGCAGGAGATTTGCTGTTTGGTTGAACCCTGCTCAAGTCCCAGCCATTTACCGTACAACTTTACTCCTTTCTAGTCTGATTCTTGCTAGCTCAGCAGCTCGTGTCACAAATGATATGCTTTTGGCTTTTCTTTCTGTACTGCCTCAAAGACTTTTACTTGCTAGGCTATTAAGCCCAAGGTGTTTCTGACTGATACTCTCATTGACCCATGGCATCTTTTCCTAAACCTTACATTACTGTTGAACCCAGTTCTAGAGCCATGAATAATGATGAAGCACTTATCGCTCTCTAAGAGACTACATTATTTGGGACTGAAGTCATGCACAGAGACCGGCACACAAGAATCACATGTGCTCTTTTACTCTCTGAAACTGGCTGTTCTCAGAAAACATCCAGGGCACAGAGAACGTAAGGAAGCAATTCTCATCCATTCCAACAGCTAATACATGGGTAACTGACATACTTAAAGTATTTTTAAAATTATTATTATTATTCCACTGCAGTGGGGGTTCTTTGTAGACTTGATTCTTTCACGCATTAATACATTCCATTCATATTAAAAAAAAAACAACCAAACAAAATTTTTTCCTGGTTTTATGGGATTTTCTTGAGGCCCACTCTGCTGGTTTGCATTCTAGAAAATGCCTCTTTTAGTCAAAGAAAGGTGAAAAGTCCCATAGATCAGACTTGTAATATACCTCCCAAACTGACAAACACGACTCCACGTCTGGAGGAGCAAACATAGTAGCAGAATATTTCAGTAAGGGAACAAAGCAATCCAAACAACTATAAGCTCATTATTTTGATATCAATAACAATAGGAATTCAGAAAAAATGTGTTAGGAAAGAATAAAGGTAAGAAAAATTACAAATAGGTGGCAATCAGTCACCTGTGTAAGAAAGGCATCAGAAACAGCAACCAGTGGCAAAAGTTATATTAGGCAGTCTCCCTCACAGAAAGACAACTGTTATAGAAGGCACTTAACTGGGATAGTGGATACAGTTCTTGTCATCTGGGTCCAAAAATGAGATCAGACTATAGCAGGAGCGTAAAACCTCTACACAACTGAGGAATATGAAGAGCCTGAAGAAAGACTGATTTGCTTAGCATGGCTAGGAGGAAAAGAAACTTGATTCTTTCACTTTCTCTAAGTGTTCCAAAATAAATTAAAGGGTAAGTATTAGAGAAGAAGAGCCAATTAATTTCAAGGAACAAGGTAAAAAAGGCGATATATTTGGCCAGGAAGCTTAGCATGCAAATTAGAAAGAGATTTCTAGCCATGTGCAGAGTAAAGCTCCAAAACAGGCTTCCAGTAGCAGCAGAATGGACCCAAAACCTGACTGGCTCCAGGCTGGAGCTTGAGAAGTGTGCAAGGATTTCTGTGGTTGTGAAGCCTCTGCCACAAACCCCTCTTCCAACTTTCACTTTTTTGGGTTGCCACTCTGGCAGCTCTATCTAAATTAGGACTAACTGTGCCTAAGACTGTTTTAAACAATTTTCCAAACTTTGCTCAGAAGACAATTAATACAGTTTCTCACATACACACAGTTAGACAGCACCTGGCTGGAATATCAGGAGTGAGGCCAATTATAGAGTTAGGACAATTGTTATGTACAAGCAGTAGATTCCATCCAAAACCCCCAAAAATACGTTTCCTTTATGTCTACAGAAAAGCATGGAGGCTAAAAGTCTGGAAAGCCTCACTCAGTTTTCTACAGTGTTAGAAGACCCACCTCAGCAATGATGTAGTTTAACAACCAGATTCTGATTCATGTCATGGTTATTACATTATTGTTATCCACCCATCATACACAAGAGGGAAATAAACCTATGAGATACGTACTCAGAATAAATGGACATCACATGAAAGATGAAAGCAGTATCAGAAGAATCCAAAGTTCACATCTCAGACTCAGGCTCAGCTGTGGAGAGGAGCAGGACTACAAGTGCAGAAGTCTTACGGCAGTGTAGGACAGCCAGAAGAACCCCTGCAGCTTCCCTCGTTAGAGATGCACTGGCAACTGGAGCACAGACTATAAAACTAGACTATAGACTAGTAAAGTCTATCACAACTCCTTTAGGCACATGTGAGAAACAAAGGACAGTGCTCCCACAACAAAAAACCCTGAAGGGAGCATCAGCGGCAACTGAGCTCACAACTTCTGGAGAGGTTTGCAATTCAAGATATAGAGTGACTACTCTCACCTACACCACATTATTTATAAACCCCGGTGTCCTGACTGCCCCAGAGAACTCAAAACAGACCTAACTCACCTCCACAATGTAGCAGGGCAGACGTGGCCACAGGCACATCAAACATTACACCCAATACAAACATGAGCTCTAGGTCTGAAGGGAGGGGGAGCACAACCAAAATTCCAGCTCAGGTAAAGAGGAAGCGAGCACCTCTTGGAACTGTCTGGCAGCAAAGCCCTTCACCTCTGCTTTCACTCACACTTCTGCCACACCACCTAACGTTCAGACAAGATGCACACGATGAACCTGACAGCATGACACTGCACAAAACATATGATGGAAGGGAGGGAAAACAAAGGATCGCAACACCAAACTCCTTCTACCCTCACCAGTGGTGCCTTTTCCCTGCCACAGCATCAGAGCTAGCCATGAACTAACTCCATGAACCAGAGCACATGGCTCTGCCCGACTGAAGAAAGCAAATGGCAGACACTGGGGACTGGAAATTAGAGTTTGAAGATTAGATATGCCAATGACTGAGTGACACTTACCAAAGTCAGGTGTTCAAAGGAAAATTGAAAGTGCCGTTTTAAAGCAAAACCTCTATAGTTAGATTAGAATCTCTCTTTCTACAATACTTCTTCTACAAGCCCTTCAGAAGAGGATTTCATTGTTCAGTATCTGAGGCTTCAGGAAAGGTAAGAAGTAGTCATAGGACAGGCAAGGGTTTTCATGGGTGAGATCACTCAGTACAAGATCACCAGACCAGGGGTGCAAGAAAAGTAAAAAAAACTTTCACCGTCAGGAAGAACAATACCTCTACACAACCGTTCTCTTAATTTTTTTTTTAATCAATTGTGGGCCATGTGATTGAAATCAGGACCTGGTAGTTTACTCAGATCCAGATGAACTGCCACATCTGAATTTGTCTACTTGTTTTCAGAGCTTCTTGCATCTCCCTCTGCTTAGCTTTGCTGAGGTAGTGATAAACCATGAGCTATTCAGCAAGTCCTACCACACATGAATAAAGGTTAAAGGCACGGCACTAAGGGCAAAGCATTCAGCCAATAGAGAGGAGGCTAAGGCAAAGCAGGTCTTGCAACTGGGAGAGCAATTTCAGATTATAATTGCTTCCTCCTTTGAGAACTGCAGGGGATTGCCTAAATTACATCAACACTTTGCAGTTGTTTAGACAAAAAGGAGTCACTTTGTAACTTCCAGTTATTCTGAACCAATCCAGCCTCTTCCTGTGCACTAAAATTCATCCAGAGGCATGCTACAAACTAAACAGGAAAGTCTAAATCATGTTTGTGATGCTGAGGAATGCACTAGTATCCAATTCATACTCCTCAGAAAAGGCAACTTACACTTTTTTACTAGCACTTCTCTAGATTTCTATGCTGTATAAATGAACCATACTTTACCCAGAAAACTATATCTCACTCAAAATTTTTAAAGGAAGAGAACTAATGTATATGAAAATATTAACTAATAAGCATGGAAGATACAGACAGCATTTGAACATTCTCTAAACACCACTTTAATTAAGCTAGATGACACTGGTTTCTTGTACAATACTATCCCAGACTAGTAGATCTGGAGAGAGGCAACAAATCCTTTCAGAATAAGGTGCAGTCTACCCAGCCCACCACCTTATGAATGCACAGATTCAAGCTCCCTGTAACACTGAAAGAGGAGAAGATACTTGATTTCACTGAATAGCCTTTTAAAAATAAAAGGGTGGCTTTCAGCGTAGAAATGTAACCTTTTAAAGGAACAGTTATGTAATGCTATCTCCAGAAAAAGAAACAGCGGTGCAATCCACTGTATTCACAGTCAAAAAGGACCAAAATCCTCATTTGTTCCCAAGTGTACAAATGGAAAGTTTATAAAATAACGAATATGTTTAAGTAGTATTTATGCTAAAATCCAGGGGTATGCTAAATGGACCGTGGTCTGGGGACAAACCCATAAACATAAGAGCTAAAAAAAAAAAAAAAAAATCACATTCCTAAAACAATTGTGGAGGGGGGGGGAATGTTTCCTTAGGCATTAGCTTTATTATCTATATTCAACATAAGCCAAGGAGTTGTTTGCAGTTTGCAAAGTTGTTTGTTGTTTGCACCGTGCTCAGAATCATTCTGATCTCAACACACAACAACAAAAAATGTTGAACATGTACTTTCTCTGTGAAGTCACAATAATTACACTGGTTATTGCATTTTCTTTACTCCTACAAATAGTACTTCTGTCAATTTGTAATAGCCGAAGTACAGCATTTCCAAAGAACTTCTAGGTCTGTATAAGGCTGCGTATGGGAGGCTGAGAAGAGAACCAACCAAACCCAGTGAATATCCCTATCGTCAATAGCTTCAGTTACTGTGCAGAAAATGGTCACGTACCTCTGAATAAAGTATCCCCATGCCTATTCTTCACTGCTTGAGTTCGTTCTTGCTCACCAGCCCAACAAGTTAGCCTCACTTGAAACGCTCTTGAGCTTGTTTGATTCTGGTTAATATTTAACTTTAAAGTATCACTCTTTCTTAAGCTACATTTCCTTTAAGTGATTTCTACGTGGTAGCATGAAACAATTGTCTTCAGAAACCCAACCCAGGGAGGTAAACGTGAGAACAGCAGCTTACAGGAGACTGACAGAACAAGTTACAACAGAGAAGCATTTTCCTTTGTCATTTTTGCAATAACAGCCTCCAGTTACCTAAAAAGGAAAGCAGCAAAACAGGCTGAGGAGGGGAGGAGGGAGAGAGAGAGGAAGAAAATTTCACAAGTGAAGAAAGGGAGGGGGGGGGAGAAAAAAAAGCATGAAACCTAAAGCTTAAAACAAGTAACTGTGAATGGTAGCTAGTTTGCCACCCAAACTACTTCTGACTAAAACATATCCCAAACCCTCTGCAAGAACACCTCTGACACCTACCGGGAAAAAGGAAGCAACTAGATCCCACACCTCTAATGAGAGTTCCCAGTATAATTATCTTCAGCCTCTTATTAAGTAGGCCAGCTGCTTTCATCACTTTTTGCTCAGTCTTCTTGTCCTAGCCCAGCCCAAACAACGAATATGGTTCATGTTTAACCTGCTAATTTTATACTCTAATTGCAGTACAGTTTCCTTGGGAAGAGAATTATTGTTGATGTCAAGATCCCCTTTGAGCATTCATGGCTCTGAAGACAAGATGCTGATAGTATTTCTGTACTACACTCATACAGTCTTTCCAAGTAAGGCATGCAAGTGTCTGCAGACACCCCAAAATCTCTTTTCCCTTTATAGTTTAAACCCACGTTTCCTATGTTTCAAGCATATTTTTAAACAAGTTTTAAAACATATGCATGTAACTGTCCATCTTAAGTCCAAGCTCTCAACCTTACATTTGAGAATTTTTATTTCAATGCAATTTTCGTATTTATTCTCCAGTGAGGTGGGAGGCCATATAAAATTACTCATACTGTCTCTATCCTCCTCTGGTTAAGGTAGTATAGCTCCATTGACTGTAGTGTTAGTTTGTTGGCACCAGTTCTAACCCTTTCAATGGCTGTTTACCAGAAGAAAATTAGGTTGGCTTGTAACAGAAACACACACTACACCTACCTGTGACAAACCTCACTAGGATCCTCCCAATACCTTGATCTTTCAGCATGTGGTGAATATGAATGAAGGACACGGAGGAGCAAGTAACACCTCAAAGGTGAAAAGGTATTCCTTGCCAGTATTTCTTCACATCCAGATCCTAAGGAGTGGACATCCTCCTACACCAACTGGCTAGGCTGTTAGAATTTATAAACTACAACTTGTTGAAAGAAATCTCAAGTTGCTCAGCTGTTCCATATAACAACTTAGTAGTTTACTTAATACTCTCCTAACACCAATATACAAATGCATGGTAACAAGGGAAAGTATTTAAAAAAAAAAACAACCAACAAACAACAGAAAAAAAACCCAAACTCCTCTACAAAGCACAGCGATAGCTTCAGGCATCACCTTTCCCAAGATAGTGTAAATTACTACTTAATCCAGCATCACACCTCAGGCCCTCTTGAAAATCGCTTAAGTGACTACTGCAGTCAGAGCTTTAGCTGGAGAAGAGATAAGCAACCCAGCCATGATGAGGTATGAGACTGATGCAAATTTATGTAGTCACAGGTTCACTTCTGCTTCACATATTGCTTTAGTGTTCTTTACCATGCTTGTAAGTGAGGATTTGAATCCAGAAAGTTTTAATCTTTCTTTGCTGAATAAGTCTTTTTTCTCCAAAAGGTGCCAAGTCTCAGTGTATGGGCAAACTGTCACCTACTCAGTCTGTGTAGGAAACATGATTCTTACTTCCTGAAAGAATTTAACAACATCTAAAAAGTTTCATGTGAGCCAGAAGTGAACCAAGAGTTTATCAGAAGGGCCTTCACCAGAGAAAGAATAAGGGCAACTCATTTTTTAGACTAAATATCAGTTACACTTCAGAACAGCACCTTCAAAAAAAGGCATGGAAGATAATTTATCTTTTTAATTTCTGAGCACTATAGGTGATATTGCTCCAAATGGGATGAGTTACACTACTCTCAGGAAAGAAATCTGTGGCCTGCTGGAGGTGTGTGTGCACGACATTCTTCAGAAACACGTATTCCCAAGAAATGCAAATGGAAATTCCCAAGAATCCTGGAATGGCCAGTGCCTGGACAAGAGAAACACCCACCCTTTACACTTGTTAGTGTTAGCCGTTAGCTACCCGGACAACATCCTTGTAGCACTGCAAGGGTCCCTTGCACCTCTGCTTCAGGATGGGATTAACTCAACCGCCCCACTGAGCACAGAGAAACCCCTCCAAGGCACAGACCAGAGCCTGCATTTCATAACACTTTAAGTTGAATTCAGTGAACCACTGGTGCAGGGCTTCCTAGCCCTCCCCCTGCCTCCCGATGCTGATATGGTCACTCCTAGGTTACTTCTGTTACAGCCCATCCTGTGGCTAAGCTCCAGCAGCTCAGCTGCCCTCCTTAACTCGCCCAGTGCACTACTGATCTGTTCCATCTCCAACCCAGTTGTCAAATGCCATGCCTTGAACCCAAAAGGGCTGTCAGAAATTACCAAAAAGGCAGAAAGCAAACTGAGAAGGTGAAAAGGAAATTATGTTGCCTGGACACACAGTAACCAAAGAGCTTTAGGCTCCATCATAAGCTCTTCCTGCTTAAGCATGTCACAGAATCATAGAATCGTTTAGGTTAGAAAAGACCTTTAAGATCACCAAGTCCAACCGTAAACCTAACACTGCCAAGCCTACCACTAAACCACGTCCCTAAGCGCCACATCTACATGTCTTTACCTCCAGGGATGTCCTTTGGGTGCATTGAGCAACATGGCTAACGTCTCTCACATGCTCGTACACTCTCTTTCTTGAGGAAAAGGATGAGTTTTGGTTTGGAATTTATTTACTACACACTTGGTTCTAAACACGTGCTGGAGACATCAAGGGCAGAAAAATACACTTCATGCTGAGAATTAAAAGTTGTGAAACTGATATGAGGACTGGGTGGCTGGTTCTAGGAAACACATTTCTTCAGGCTTGGGCTAGTTTTGAGAAAGTTCTGTCCCCAGGCTGAAGCTGTTGATTGACTATACCTGCAGGGTACAGTGCATTTGATAATCTTCCCAACACCAGCAAGTACTAGAAAATAGGACACAGACATGTTCCCACTTCACAGTGTATCCTAAAGAGAGAATACAGTAGGCAGGGCTGTTGAATTTCTGTCTGTCTTTCCCTTTTGCATCACTCTTAGGATTCATCATTCATACAGGCTGATCCTGGCCTGCCCAAGATCCCATTCCCCATAAAGAGCTCACAGGCAATACTGCACAACGTGGAACACATCAGTCCTGTAAAAGTGAGTGGGGCTGTACATCTGCACAAACCTGCTGACACGTGCATGCATTTTCATGATCAGTGTTATCATGTATGATAACTCTTAATTTAAAATTGGCCAAGTAGCATAATGACTGGGTGATGACTCAGCAGGCTGAAGCATTTGATAAACAACTAGCTCCATTCCCATACATGCCTGCTTAACAAGTAATCAACTGTAGGCAAAAGTAGGGAGAAAATTTATGAGAACCACAAAAGTACTTGGGAAGAGGAATAGGGTTCAAACACAAAAAGAAGAGCATATACAGACCACTTCCTTAAAAGAACACTACTTTTGTGTTTTACAGGGTTTGCAAAGGAGAAAGGAACACACGTATTCCCCTTTGTTCTCTCCCTCTAAGCCTGTGGATCATCAGGGATATACAGAGGCAGAGGATAACCAGGGGGTACCTGAAAGAGAGTTGGCTGATACTGGGGGTTAAGACATACTTGGGCATCTCATGTTACGTCCAGCTGTAGGCCAGACCACCTGGGCATCAAAATTTTGCTATAGCATTTTCAAAACAGGACACTTTCTATCTCAGCTGGCATGGTTCTCTAAGTAAGGACAGCATAGCAACACGTCCTGGGAAGTTTCTGTATACATTTTAGGTTTTGTGTTTCCTATGCTCTTTTTATGTTCA